AACCCGTGCAAAAATCCCCCTCCCATCAGCGGAGGGGTTTCTACGGCAGACCTGCAGACTGCTCCCCACAGAGTGAAAACAGAGCCTCTTCCATGTATCACCATGTTGCACTGGCTGCTACGAGCTCCTTAGAGAAATCCAAGCAGCTATCACAGTGGTCAGAAATCCACAGCAACATGTGTTTGCTCACCATAAAAATCACCCTTCTCCAGAAGTGGAACTCTCTTTCTGGAGTAACTTAAAAACCCCTTAGGATGGTAACACCACTAAAAGGACGGGGCAGGACCCTTCCCTGCCACCACGGCCCTTTGGCAATTCATGGTCCTGGTGGAAAGCCTTGCTCTAGAAGTTAGGAGGAAGAGGTCACCTACTGAAATGTTGGTCTCAATGGCTGAAATGCTCCAGTCATGCTCTTGGGAGTGGCTTTCCTTTCTCCAGAGCTCCCCACACTGCTCGAGGCATAAGCAATCCCCACCTGGCCAGCAAGTTTGAATTTAAAACACCTCCCTAACATGGAGAAGAGGCATCGGAGTAAGCTTGTTTTTCACTGCTGACTGACAGAAGCATGTTCCAGCTGACACTGCTGAGTCCTCTCCGGGTCTCCAGCTGAGACGAAGCCATCAGTAAAATCACAGGAGGGTGCACTATCCCCTCCTCTGGCTATTTAAAATAAGTGTCACTAAACCAGACAGATGCTGGCGCTGTGTCTCAGCAGGCACTAATTTAGCCCATACAGAGTGCTCTTACATCATTTGTTCTGAGCACAGCTTAATTGCAAAATTAATTATTTTCCTATCAAACAAAATTTTTAAGCCTGATGGATGGGATTTGAATAAATAAAAACAACTTTGACTCTTGTCTGCACTCGGGACCACTAAGAGAGTGGTGCTGTTGGGGCAGGGAGCCAGGAAACGCCCGACGGTGGGGAACAGGGCATGGATGCCACCAGAAAGGCAGGGGTGCGAGGTCCCAACCACCCTGTACTGGGATGGGGCCCCCACCCGTGCCAGGATGCTGCAGCACACACAGCTGGGCAGCGAACAGCAGATCGCACTGCCGCCCATCTCCGGCACACCCCAGCTGCTGTGGGAAGCCTTGAGAGCGTGCTGCTGGTATCACGGCAGGGCTTTCAGCCTTACTGCAGGGAACCAGCAGGACTGTACAGAGCTGGAGGAGCATCTCCAGCCCCTTCACCCTGTACTGCTCGAGATGTGCCCCTTCCCTGTGACACCATGGGCAGCCATCCCCAACACGGACGATGGTAGCCAGCATGAGGGTGAGGAAAGGTGAGTGTGGCCATCACTGTGGCATCAGGCTACAGTTGCCCTGGCCAATGGTAGATGGCAGCTTGTGCCCAGATTGCCCCATGCCAGGAGTGGTTTATATCTCAAGGCAAGCCCGTTCAATTTGTTCTCATTTCTGACCATATCGCAGGGGGCTCAGACACAAGTAGATATAACCACCACCCAAACACACAACCTTTCTCATGACAGGCCTGGCCAGACCTAGATTTTAATTGGAGGGCATCCCATTTAAGTGGGCTGCATCCTCAGGTGATGACAGAAGTGGAAAAAACATGGATAGGACCAGAACTATGGCACGGGGGAGCCACAGCTGGAACAAGTCATGAAAAGTCGTGACTGTCCCTGCAGAAGCCTTCCCTCTTCAACCCCTTGACAGCTATCCAGCACAGTGCCCACTATGTGGGCAGGGCTGTGGTGGTCAAATTTCTTCAAAAATCACACAGAAATGAGCAAATGGATTAGTCAAGCACATAATCATACAGTGAGAACAACTTAACCTGAGCAAAATATGGACACCAGATGCCAAGGTCACATCTTGGATTGTGGGCAAACATGGTGTGAAATCTGACACAAATCAAGTCACTGCCGCTCCTATTGGGCACATCTGCTGAAGTATGCCTTTGGGCAACCACTGGGCTGAGCTCAAGTTACGTTAAATTCTGTAAAAACACAGAAGAGATGACAGTCCCAGCTGCAAACTGGAAAACCAGACCTCAGATCCCCGCCTCTGAAAGGGGCACATGAACCATTTCATTATTTACCAGATAAATTTACAAAGCTGCATTATGAAAGCATGAAGCACTGACTCCTTTGGCGTCAAAAAAAAAAAGTCCACACCACAGGCCATTTTGAGCTCTAACGGGAAGTCTGCAAACTCGTATGGATTTTTTTTAAAATATCTCCTTTAATGCTTCAGGCTTGTTAAGCATCCTGTGATGCCTGTTGTATTAGACCATGTCTCTGAATTTGGGAGTATCTGACTTAAGAAAAACGATCTAAGTGAAGGCACTTACGGTGAGACTTTGTTGTTTTACGAGGTCTTTTCTCGTCAGAGAGCAGTGTGGCTCTGGGCATGCAACCACTGCCCTCAAGTGGCATGAGCTGTGCAGGACCTTTCACGAAGCTCCTCAGCTTCACTCAGAGCAAGGGCATGGGCAGAGGCCTTTGCGCAGGGGCCAAGCTGCTTCAGCATGTTTGAGCTGTGAGCGGGGAAAAAGAAGACCATTTAAAGAACATCTGGAAATTTACCTTTTAAGAACCGAGCCCCCGTATTGGCCAAAGGAAGGCAAAGGCACGCTTTGCCAGGGGATGAAACCAGCGGCTTGATTGCTTGCTCAGCAAGAGGCTTCTCCAGGGCCAGAGCCTCCTCTGAACCAAGGCAGCTGATGTGGCCACCAGGTCAGCAGCAATCCATCATGGACTACCAGCAGCACGTCCATGCACCAGCATGGGAGCCCGCTCCTTCCTCCAGCCATGCTCCTCAGCGGTCCCACCTCCCAGGTCCCACTGCAGGGAGCAGCAGCTTTAGAGCTGAGGTGCAGCTCTTTGCCCACACCTAATGCAAACCCCCAGCTCCAGTGCCCATGTAAAACAACTGGATGTCCCAGCATGAATCAGGGTGAAATAATGATCCTAATTTATTCTGCTTCTCTCGACCAGTCTCTCCCTTGGCTCCTGTGGCATTTGCTGCTTAACTACTGGGAGCCAGCAGGAACATTTGAAGAGCAAACAACTAGCAGGCATTTTTTTAATTATTGGGGTAGTTGAAACATTCTTCTACAGCCCTGCAAAGACAAAGGGTGAGAACCTTACAACATCATCATTTTAAAACCCTGAGTTGCACTGAGCTTGCAGGGGGGGTCTGGGCGCTGCCGAGGCGGCAACATTTTATAACTGCTTAACTGTTTGACTTGATCCTTCTCACATCTTCTGACAAAATTCAGTGTACAACTAAAAGGCAAACACAGTGGAAATAAGCATTTCGTTAGGAAGGCTGGGGATCTGCAGGAAAAAAACCTGAAGGGAGGAATGGGAAGAGAGAAGGAATTGCTGTGAGCTTTGCTCCTGTGTTTTCTTCTGATTCCTATGGATCTTGCCCATGTGCTACTTGGACAGCCCACCCTTGTGCCTGGAGATCTTGCAGATGCCCAAGGAAAAAAGAAATGCATGCAGTACTGCAGGCCACCTCCTCCCACTTGCTTAGCCATGGCCCCAGCAGTGAGGCTGGGCAGTAGCCTCTGCCATCACAGTGACACAGAGGTCTCAAGGCACCATCTGCAGTTTACGGGAAGGGCCCATGTCCCCAGGCATGGTGGTGTGGCACTCACGAGAGTGTAGGAGAAGGCACAGGCATGGATGTGCAGAGCCACTGGGAGCTGCTGGCATGGCTCTGTCCTGCACTGCTGCCGGCACCACCTGATGGGGGATGCCTCTGCTGGGCTCCAGATCTGTTGTTGGTGCTTTTCCAGCCTGGAAAACGAAGTTCCCAATCAAACTGAGAACAAGTGGGAAGGAACAGGGAGAACGGCTCTGACACTCATACCTGCTGCCAGCAGTGTTTCCAGAGCAATGGGGCTGGAGAGGCTGAGCCTGTGGAGCTCCCGGATGAACAGGAGCGATGGACACATTACTGCAGCATTATAATGTCCTTCAGCAAAGGGATTAGAGCTTGGCCATATTGCTGCAAACCTTCCTGGTTAAAATCCCTTCCCCAGTCCTGTAACACAACTATCATATAACAACTTCCCTATCTACAAGGTGCTTTTAGACCCAGGCTTCTGCAAGCAGAGGACAAGATTTTGCTAAGAGGGAAACATTTCCTTGAAGCAGGAGGACTGAAAGGTGCTATCGCTCACTGAGCTCAGCTGGGAAGGGATGGAGCAGCGGGTAATCTCAGCACAGCCTCTTTGTTTGGCTTTGCTTGGAGAGATTGGGCAATGCCTACACCCCTGGCTGGATCATGGTGCAGAGCACCTCCGGTCCTGAAAGCAACACTGCTGTGCCACAGTGAGCATGGCTTTGCACTGCAAAGATTTGTTGAGGCTCCTGCCATGCAAAACCTCCCCTCAACGCTAAGGAGGGAATAACATTTGGATGTTGATAAGGCTTGGAGTATTCATTCCTGTATGCAATCCAAAAATTTCTAGACAGTGTCAGACTTACTGCATCAGGAAGAGATGTATGAAGGCCCCTAAGAGTTTACTAGGGAAATCACTTGTCCATGGGGGAAGTTTCTTCCTAGCCCTCCTATCAAGAGATTGATTTATGGCCAGAAGCATAAGCATTTTATAACCCTCTTTAAAAATAAAGTACCCTGGGTGCATCATATTGTTAAGCACTGGCCTTGGCAGTATCTTGTGGATGAGAGTTCTTCCGGTTTGATTTTCTTCATATGAAGCTTTGAACAAGTCTCACTCTCACCAGCTTTGTCCTTGTTCTCACGGTGAGAGTGGATGCTGGAAGAGGTGGGGGACCAGAGCAGAAGCTACACAAACTGCACAACATATTACTGAAGTGAATGGGGTTCACAGTTGATTGCTCAAAACATGGATTGCTGTTTCAACAGCTGCTGAGTGGTGGCCTGAAAGAGAGCTCAAGTTTTGCTTGTATTAATTGGATGTTATTTGGACTTCTGAATCCATCCCTTCCTCACCTTCCCAGCCACTTACAGACAGGACTTCTAAACCCTTCCGCAGGATGAACAAGACCAAGGGAGCTTTTGAGAGCACAGAGCTTTGGAGCCCAGGTCACATGCAGAGCACCTCCTTCACCAGTGTGGCATCACCATTTGCATTTGGCCAGCAAATGACAGACAAAGCCCTGAATGTGATCCTTATTGTGGTCCTCTTTGTCATCATGGTCTCTCTGGGGTGTACGATGGAGATAGCCAAGATCACAGCTCACCTCAGAAAACCCAAAGGCATGGCGATTACCGTAACGGCTCAATATGGCATCATGCCCTTGACAGCATTCATATTGGGCAAGCTCTTCTAGCTGGGTGCTACAGAATCCCCAGCCATCCTCGTCTGCGGCTGCTACCCAGGGGCAAACCTCTCCAACATCTTTAGTCTGGCACTGAGAGGGGACGTGAACCTCAGGTAAAGAAAGCTGAGTACGTGTTCATCGCCCAGGCCAATCTAGTCATCTGACTGGTTCAGAAACTTAATCAATGTTAGCAATCCCCAAGAAGCTAGACAAAGACAGAAATACCAAGTCTAGAATATTTTTAAAGCACCTGTATTGCTCAATGAGCAAATTTGTCCCTGTTTTACCATAAAATGGGATTTTGTGCCTTTCTCTGAAGCATATAGCATGTTGCTGTTGTGTGCAGGAATACCTTTAATCTCTACATAGCAGTACATATAGCATATATATGCTATACCTATCCATATAGCAGCATATAGTTCTGTGTCAACTAAGCACACTGAAGAGGCTGCATCAGTGAGAAATGTTGAACAAGCAGAACACCACTCTCCAACAAACCGTAGTGATAAAACAAGATCCAGGGTGCTTTCTTTGTCGCTTGTGAATTTCTGAAACACGAGATGTACCTGTAACAAGGGTCCTTTCTGAGCACGTACAGAACTTGATTCATCTTCTCCCTTCTCTGGTCAACCTGACAGTGATGTTAGGGAAATCTCAGTGACAGGTTGGGAAAGAGCAAGGTAAAGTCTTGTATTAAAACCGTGCGTCCAGGTTAGTAAGAAAATCAGCATATTCCATCGAACAGTGTCATTCTTCTACTGAGAGGTCATTTCTTCATCTCAGCATTGTAATGGCCACATGCTCAAGGGTCCTGGCAATCGGACTAATGCCTCTGCTTCTGAACCTTTACTCGGGAGGACTACACAAGGGTGATTTGGAGAGCAAGGTACCTTATAATGGCATAATCACCTCGCTGGTGCTAATGCTAATCCCTTATGCCATCAGCATCATCTTGAATTAGGAGAAACCACAGTACACTGGCTTTACCATCAAGGTAAGAAGTATCCCGTGCTAGATGCTTTTCAACCAAGGGCCTCAAGGAAGTTTCCAAAAATAGAGGCACAGAAATACTAACCGCTTTAAGGCATGCCACAAATCCAGGAAAGAGTTGAGGACAGAACTCAAAACATCCACTTCACCACTTTAATCATTAAAATATTTGCCCAAAGAGAAGTCCTTCACCTTTTCTAGACAAAAAACATTTTGTAGGCAACTTCCTAGCTCGCTCTCCTTCGTTGGCTTCAGTTTTCTTTTGCTACAAGCAATACTAAGGAACCCATAGGCACCACCCCTGACAACTGATGTAACCAGAGCAGACCTCAGGTTAAAAAAAAAAAAACAAAAAACAAACAACAAACCAAACAAAAAAAAAGAACAACCAAACAAAACCACCCCCACTGTTCTCAGAGGTCTAGCACAGCACAAAAGTCACATCACAAAGTTGCTGATTACATCAATGAGGTATCTATTCAGCAGAAGCCGCTAGATCACTAAGTGCCCACTTATGCCTGGAATCATCTCCCCATCTCCTTTGTACATCAGGCATTTAAACGGTGAAAGGGAAATCTGGACAACCAACTACACCATTGTCTAACTCAAGAGCTCCACTAGCAGTACCTGGAGAGCTGCTGATAACTTTGAAAGCCTGTTTTTCATAGTTTCACTAAGGCTTCATCTCAGAGAAACTGGGACGAAGCACGGCAAGAAATGGGTGCTAAGACTCAATAACAGACCTGATAAAGTGACATTAGGCTCTAAGAAGCATGGGAACCCAGTAGTCAGGCTAGAGCAGATGCAACAAGACCAGAGCTCTTCAAAGGTCCCTTTACCCAGCACAGGGCAGCGATGACTGGAGTCTTTCAAAAGAAGCTTTAAAAGCCTAAACATGCCCAGCTGACCCTTGGGTCATGTTCCTTTCTGCTAAAACCACCTTTCCATTTATCTTCTCTACAAAAGAGGAAGGGGGTGGAGACTTGCTTTTAAAAAACACCTGGGGAATTCCATCCAAATTGGACTCCAAAGTTGAAAGACAGGCAGGAGAGCTATGTATTCTGCCTCCCAAAGCTCCCCAGCTCCTTCATCTGCCAAGTCACTAGACATCAACGAGACAATGTGAAAAGGCAGCCACCACCTTCCACGTCTGCTGTAGGCAGGCCTTACCTGCGAGTAAAGTGGTTTCCTCCCCACCTGCTTTGGGTGGAGTATACCCACAAAGGGACCTGGACAGAGACACATAGCAAGGCCTGAGAAATAAGTGGCTGGTGGAGCGAGCACCGGTCATTTTGCATATAGACCAGAAAGGTACTCAGTTATTTAAGGTCTCTCTAGGTAATACCTCAGGATGGTCTCTTGTTGATTACTTGTCATCTGTGTCCATGAAAGGCACTTATGCACTCACATTATATACTTCCAGAAGTGATGGACAGGGAACTGGGCACAGCTGCTTCCAACAACTGAAGCAAATTTTGCTGGAGATTTCTCTCTTGTCCTTATCTTGACCACTTTTATTTTAGGCAGGGATGGTTGTGTTTCTGCTGTCAACTGCTGCCATAATCGTTCTGTCTGTGGCCAATGTCGGAAGTGGTATCATAGTCGTCTTCCACCATCGCTCCTGGGATCATCTGCCTTGATGCATTTTATTGGATTTCTTTGTTCTCCCTGCAGCCTTCAAGCTGAATGACCTGTGCGTTCCTCCACTCCCCCCTCCCCTCACTCTCTGTCACCAGAAGGAACAGAGAAGTATGGCAGCTCCGGTCTAAGGGGCAATGGTGAAAACATGGGTTTCAACATGGATGTACTTTTGTAGAATAAACACTGATTGCAGTCTCCCAAAATGGCCCTAGGAGTATAAGCAGACACGCTGCAAGCTGGTCCCAAGTCAGTAACTCCCACCTTTAGTGGGGAGAGAAATTAGTTCACCTCTGCTTGGCTCGTCAGAGAGAGAAGTGTTCGTTGAAGCAGTTTTTTTGACACGGGTACCTGATCACCATGGGAGGGGTGGAAGGTTCACTGAACAAGCAGATGGATGGTTTTGACTTCAGGTCACTAGTGACTTGCTAAGCACACATTACCCACCTCCGCTCTCAATAATGAAGCTGGGGGAAGAAGAGAATTAATAGCACCAAATAAAAAAAAACAAAGAATTGGGAAATACCAACAGAGACCAAACCCCAAGTGACACAATTATTCCCCAGCTGATAACTATCTCAAACCAGCCAGTGCATTCAGCTGCAGCCACAGGAATTCAGGATGGAAACCTTGTGCATAAAACCCACTCCTTCCCTTTCTCATCCTACCTACTCCAGGTTGGAAGCCTGCTAGTCCTCACTATTTTTTACCTTCACACCTTGGACTCTTTGCCTCAGAAGTGGATTCCTTCTCTGCAGGAAGCTGCAGAGCCCAGAGCAGGACATAAGGCCTCCAAACACCATTAAGCACAAAGTCCATATTTACAATGTGATCTGTCTCTGCCCCTTGCAAAGGGAGCACAAGGCAAAACCTTCTAGGGATCTCAGTATAAAGCACCTTTTAGCACAGGCAAATGCACGAAGCATTGCAACAGCAAGGCGGGCAGCGTTCTTTTTAAGTTGTTTGAAAGTGAGTTAAGTCTATAATCTGTTTAACTTTTCCTCTTTCAGATGCAGGCGGACAGTGCGCATGGAAACGCTGCCAGAACATACAGCTTTGCTTGACTATCCTCAAGGTCGCATTCGCCTCAGAAGTCTTCGGCCCCCTGTACTTCTTCCCACTACTCTACTTGCTGTTCCAGCTTGGAGAGGGACTTTTGCTCATCTCGGTCTTTCGGATCCGTGACAGAATAAAGAAACCAAACAGCAAGTGCAGCTTTGCTCTCGTATTTCTTGCGCTTTCCACTCCAAACCATATACACTTGCAATACAACTACCAACAAATCGCTGCTTCCTAGAGGCACGATCCAGTTGCCCTTTAACTCAGGGTTTACATACCCAACACGTCAAATACAAACCACAGTCCAAAATTCAGAGGTAACTAAAGACACTAGAAACTATGGCTTCTTGCATCAGCAGAATGGTTCATATAGCTATATACTATCTATACTACCAGTGCTCAGAGGTTTTCAGAGTCCTGTGCTTAAACTAGGACAGACATCCTGCAAAGCTATGACTTGCACCAAGCACGTGCAAAGAACAGGGATGTTTGTGTGTCACTAAAACTACAAAAGAACATTAACATTCTTTAAGGCAACAAATCCTGGCTTCGCTGCAAGCTGGTGAGAGATTCACTTAAGTATGTCACTTTTGGAGTGGGTGGGGAAGAAGGGGAGGACAACTGCCAAGTACTGGAGCTGAAGGAAGGAAATATTTGGAACTTTTGCTAGAAAGCACATAAAAAGACTCAAGTTTAATTAAAATATATAAATATATATGGTATCAGTATAGATGTGAAGTAGACTCTTCTCCAACTTCAGCAGGTCCATAATGTCAAAGCCCAGCTGAGTGTCTGTGAAGATGGCTGGAGAAATGCACTGCTGAACGAGATCCTCCACCAGTCTTCCCTCTGATGCTTCGAGACCAGCTTTCTCCAGTTCCTTGGGACAGAGAAGCAGCTGAGCAGCTGCTACGGGGCTGATATAGGAGCACTTTACCGGATCTTACAGCCTTGCTGAACGATGACTGTTAACAGGGGAAAAAAAGCCCACTCCGTTTGGATCATCAGGTGCGCCTTCAGTGCAAAGCAGTTGATACTGGAAACAGCCATTCAGGTGCTTGCAAGACTGCTCTAGAAAGGGTGGCTTTCCAGGCTCTGAGTCATAACTGACTGGAAACAAAATGGCGTAAATATTTTGCCAGTTCTTTCCAAGTTCCTTCCTTTTGCTTTGAACCACCTAGCGACACCCATTGTAGCTGTGGCACAATCTTTCCCTTAGCTGGTTTCAGAACTGCCTGCTGTCACTATGTTTTTCATCAGAAGTGATCTGTGCAGGTGTGGACACAGTTACTGCTCGAGAAATAGACCCAGACCCTGCAGAAACAGTGGGAAACCAGGAAAACAATACAGACGGATTCTGCAGCAGCCACTACCACAACTCCTGCGAGCCCCACCTTCTGCAGCCAGCCTACAGGTCTCCAGCAGTTCTGTGCAAGACTTACCTAGACACGTTCATTATGCACCATACGAAGGAATCGCCACGGAGCTATCTGCACCCTCGCTGTTATTTCCCCGAAGACCTCACTCCAGATGAAGCCTCTCCCTAACTGCCCATGAGGGACACTTCCAAGTGACTTCCACGTCATTGTGACAACCCTTTGGGACAGCTTAGGGCCACGCTCCAAAGTGACTGCCCCCAGTTTTGCCCATATGAAAATCACTGCCCACATCGGTTCCCTTTTTCAATGTCACTTACCTGTACTTGTCCTGCTGGCACATCTTGGAAGCACCTCCTGAAGATTAATGTAATTTCTCTAACAAAGCCCCAAAACGAGGTGCGACCGTTTCTCAGTGCAAGACCCACCAAGACCCAGCCTGCAGCTGAGCAGCCCATGGACTGCTGGTCACTCCCATTTTCCAAAACCCGAGCACTGTGCAGTGTACCACAGCTCTCCGCACAGTAGAGGCCATAAAAACCAAACGCGGCTACGCAAACTGCTGTAGTCTGTCAAATTTGGGATCAGCAAGCTGTACCTCTGAAAATACATGAGCCTTGAACCCGCCTTGCTTTGCAGGAGCCAGTGAACTAAACAGAATACCCCTCCAGGGCACCATCTAGCTACGGTCATGCTACAAATAGAAGTACGAGGCAAGACTGGCATTAACACCTCCAACGCGCTAAGCACACGTTGTAACCCGAAGTGATCCATCTTAACGAAGTATAAATGGGCTCGTACCAAGAACCTACTTCATAAATGCAGAAACATTTCTGGCCAGAAGTCAACGTAACCCTCCGTAACGCAAAGCCTGGGAGTTCGTTTTAAACTGGAAGTTTGTCATCACAACAGGCAGCTTCCCAAGCTAAATGCAGGCATCTATCCACACTGCTTGCAAGGCAAGTGGTGCAGTGTAGAAACAGAATTCAGAACAGCTATTTGCAGAGCAGGTAGTACTTTTTATTTAGCCCGAGGAAGTGCCTGAAATCCCACCCCTTTCCAGTCATCAGGTGCCTTCAGCCACCTGCGTTCCAGCTGTAGCCAAGTCCCACTTGGACACAGATGCCCACAATCATTCTAGGAAGCAGGATCAACTGACTTGACCCCCTGGGGGTTAAAGCCCTCTTTTTCCACCTCTTAAGGTGCCCCAGCATCAGAACCACTAACCTCCAAGAACAAAGTCCCCCACTCCCCAAAGCTGACCAGGAATAATCCAATTAAAGGTGTTACCGGTCTGCCCACCTCTCGCTGCCCGCCCCCAGGAGCGCCTGGCAGTTTGATGCGGTGCCACCGTAACGGAGCTTCGCAAGGCACAACAGCTCCTTCTGGTCCCTCAGCCTGGGACATCAGGACTCTGCAACAGCAGGGAGAAAAGGCAGCAGCACCTGCAGACACTGAAGGCCTGACCTCCCCCAAGGGCAGACCTCGCTCTGAGAGCGCCATCTTCCACAGTCCATTTCCTAGGACCCAATCCAAAGCCCAGCCGAGGCTCCAAATATCTTTCTGAAGGTTGCAGAGCATTACTGGAGTAGCCTTGTAAAGCACTTTGTAAGAAAACACATTATTTTTTAAATTAACTTCTTAAGCTCTCTCGTAACTTGGGTGAGGGCTTGAGAAACACAGGGATTGCAGAGGGTTGCCGTCCCTGTAAGGCACAAGCACCAAACGCAGGCAGCAGTGCTCCCACTCACCAACTGAAAAATCCCTCCTCTTCCTCCAAAACGAGGACCAACGCCTATAAAAATGCTTTATCCACACCTCAATGTTCTCCCATATGCGTGTGCACGAGCACACTCGTGAAGCCTGCTGACGATGCCCATCTGCAACATTCCACGCTTATCACCCCAGGTGACGAAAACCAGAACGACTTGTCCTGTGAAGTATGACAGCACGATTCTCCTTATTATCAAGGTTCTTATTTCAGAACGTAAAGGTATCTAAGGAAGGACAGAGCATCACGAGTTCAAAAAGGAGTCAGCTCTCCCCCACACCCAAAGCACTCAGTAATCGCTTTGCTGTAGACTCATCTTTAAGGACCACTTTAACACTGTCCGACAGCATGAGGCACCATCACAAACACTTGTTAACACACTTACGGAACACAGCAGAAGCAGAGGCATGTTTCTTTATACTTTATTTGAGCTACTTAATTCTTAAGTATCAAGAATTAGGGTGCTTTATAGAATATTATTACCACAGGGCAGTGAAATGGGCATTTCCTTAGTGTAGTGCAAGTCATAGTAAATGAAAAGCTTTTAAAATAAAAGTTTTATTACCAGTACCGACCAGCACTTAATCTGCTGACCTATAACTGAAACAATGGTTCAAAAGCACAAAAAAATACCCTCTGAAATAAAGCTTTATGTACAGCACATGTAGAGCTCTTAGATGCCTAAAGCTGTTAAGTTTAATATGAGATATCAAACTAGTGTTCTGAATTGCTATTCACAGTTAAGTATACTGGGAAGTAAGTGTTCAGATGACTTTGAGTACAAAAAAATTTGTCTGCTTTAGTTATAAAGAGCTCTGCAATATACACAAACTATACACTTCAGACATTCACAAAAAAATGTGAGCAAGAAAAGGGTTATCAAAAAACATTTAATACAATTAGTCAATAACCCTTCCCACCATGGTCCACATCTACAAAGTTCTCCCATCCCTCCCCCCACCCCATCCAAACCCTTCCCCACAGAAAGTCACATACTTACCACAAGTTTTAGCAAGTATGGTTTAAAAAAGAGCCCCCAGGGCAAGTTAGTTATAGTTCAGTTGCCACTGTCAACAGATCTGGACCTCGATCTTGACCTCTGCCGATCCACAGATGATGGGGATTTAGATCTACTGGAAGAACCACGTTTCTGGCTCTTGTCTGGCATTGGAGATCTGCTAACTGACCGGGACTTGCTACGGCTCCTACTCCTTGACCTGCTGTAAGACTTGCGGCTGCGGGAACGGGAACGGCTACGAGACCCAGATGAGCTTCTGCTACGAGATCGTGACCTGCTTCTGGACCTACTGAGGAAATGAAGAGCATTGGTGTCAGCAAGGAACCACAACAGCAACCAGGCAATTCACTGCTCTCCAGTTCGGCCGCCTGGTCACTGACTTCAAAGCTTTCTCAACTACTACTGAAGCATCATTTCAGAGATTAGACATTCATACCTGTGCCTTTTGCTGCCTTCGATTAGTTTGATTTTCCTTCCATTAATTTCTTTACCAGAAAGTTTTTCAATAGCATTCTTTAAATCACTGTAAGAGGCGAATTCAACCACCCTACAGAAAAAAATAAAACAAAACACAGAACTCACTATTATAAGCTGTGTTTTTGATGACAGAGCAAAACACACTCTGGGGGAAGAAAAAAAAACAACAACAAAAAAAAACCCCACAACTACTCAAAAAACCCTCACACAGCTCAAGTGTAGTCACCCCTTCTCACAACTCAAGCATGAATAGAAGAATTCCCCTCCCCAAATACCAGAGAACGCATTCACAAGGAGCAGCGAAATTAAACCATGAACAGCTGCTGAGCACTGAAAGCAGCCAGCTGCCCTCCCCAAATACAAATATTACTCTACAGCATTCAGGAGATGATTTTAGAGGCTTACCCTTCATTTAATTTAGGCCTGTGTGCATCTGCAAAGGTTACTTCCCCAGCTTGTCTCATGAAGTCTTTGAGATCCTAACACAAGACCAGTTATGTTATGCAAAGAAGTGAAATTAACACTTATCTATATAAAAATAATTAAACAAAAGAAACTTACAACTACTGAAAGAGAAAATGTTAGGTAAATTACTA